AGTTGTTAACGCACAGCCTATTTTCTTGAAAAATTTGTTTGCGCTTGCCACAAATTGAAGAACCTTCCACCCGCTGATCCTCTAAACTGAATCAACTCTTGGTTAGATTAAGCATTCACTGATTAGTAAATAAAATCAACTCTTGGTTACTCTTAAAGGTAACCTTTAGAGTAGTTATGAGCCGATAATCTAACCTATTGGCACTGCAATCTGGCAAAAGAGACTTTGAGGAAACCTTGTAAAAAATTGTTGTTCCTGTAAATATGAGCTAAGAATAAGGTTTTATCAATAATCTATTATTTCTTTTTCACAATTAATTTATCATTAAAATAACCATATATTATCTCGTGAATTATCATCATATCTTGAAAATTGTTCATTTTATTTTTTTTGAGAGAAAGAAAATTGTTCAAATTTAGTGTACAAAAAAGGATAACTTTTCTCTTTCGAGGCCTCTTCTTTTTTATTGAAGATTTACATACAACATACTATATAAAAAGTAATAAAAGTGTACGAATAGAAGGTTTAATGGTGCTACAAAACAATCTTATGGTACAAAAATATGTACGGATATTGGGTAAATTGAATCAATTACATGTTATTCCTTCTGTTCTAATTTAGTTTGCCTGTTCTTCTTTTTCGTTTGTCCTAGCTAGATTCCTACTTAAACTAGAGAAGCTACCTTCTTGTAGAGGGAGACATTCTCGTACCTGTCCAGACTCCCCCAGTTATTCCCCCTCGCACTTACTTTAGAAGAAGGGTGCAGACACAAGTTTTTCTTTTAGACCTCCTGATATGGACACCCTTATGGTCACCTTATGCCGCATAATATTACACTCTAAGATGGACACTATGAGTCAGACCAACATCTTGTCATGTTTTCTATCTGAACGTTTTGCTCGTTAGGACATTGTTATGCTACATGTTCTTACCCTTCTTTGTTTCGAATTTTCGATACCTCAAGGTTGTTGCTTGATTTGTGTGACCCCAAATTTGTATTTGTAGAGAACCTATACTCACAATTAATGTAAAGGTATGACTTCAACTTTGAATGTGTAGAGAACCTATACCCTAAACAATTAATTAAAGGTCTTTGGGGTTGAATAAAATCAAATGAGTTAGAGCAATCAAAACTCCATTCATGATCAACTAATCTAGGGATTTGTTAAACGTCGCCCGTAAATCTCCACATAAAGCCCACAAATTAGACATGATTTGACAATTTTGCCTATTTCTAAAATCGTACCCAAAGTGAACAAATCTCGATCTAACAAATATGGAGTCGTACTGGGTTGCCCGGGAGACTGGAGGAGAGGCCGGAGAGGCGAGGGACGCCGGAGATACGTCGTCTTTGACGGAAAACGAGGTGGCGCCTAGTTTGGACGCCGAAACCATGGCAAGGACGTCCAGGCAAGGCGCCACAACCAGTGCACTGGCGTCCAAACCAGACGCCACAACCAGTGCATTGGCGTCCAGCCCAGGCGCCTCAACCAGTGCACAGGCGTCCAGGCCAGGCGCCACCACCAGTGCACTGGCGTTTCTACCAGACGCCACCGTTACCGTTTAATTTTTTTTTTTGCCTTTTTTTTTTATTTTTTTAAAAAAAAAAAAAAAAATTGAAAATCCGGAATTCTATTAAAAACTTTTTTTTTTTTAAATTATGTTTAATAAATTTATGTTTTGATTTAGGATGTGGAAATTTATGTTTTTTATTTGATTTTATAAAAAATATATATACTAGACTTATAAAAAATAACTCATAAAATTAATAAATATTAAAAAAAAATTAAACACATTAAAAAAAAAAATTGACATAAAACAAAATTATTTAAAAGTAACACAAATTTTCTGATTTTCCAAAAAAAAAAAATTAAAAAAAATTAAGCGGCGAAGGTGGGGCGCCTGGCAAGGACGCCCACCCACTGGCGGTGGCGCCAGATCCGGCAGCCATAGCCAGTGGGCAGGCGCCTGGTTTGGACGCCTATACCGTTGGCTGGGCTTCCAAGCCACACGCCACGCCACCGGAGCTGGCGCCACCGCCAGTGGGTGAGCGTCCTGGCCAGGCGCCCCACCTTCGCCGCTTATTTTATTTTTTAAAAAAATAATTTAAATAATTACCTTGCCACCAAGTCGCCGCCGCCGCCACCTCTTTCCCTTGCCGCTTTTAGAGAGATGTAGTGTGTGGTTTTTTTTTAAAAGCAAAAAAGGCAATAAAGTCACTTCAATACAAATTTGTGGGCTTTATGTGGAGATTTGCGGGCGATGTTTAGCGATTCACCTAATCTAAAACACCCATGGCACAAATTAATCAAGAGTTAAAAACCATTTCACAATATATTAGGGACATAGGAAGTAGTTGACTCAAATTACCATCAAATTAATCCAACACACAAAAACAATAGATTTATCTAGAATTAATAAAGATACCCCAAGCCAAAGCAACACATTGACTATGTTGTCGCTCTATCTATTTAGTACTTGCAAGTAGAACCTATATTGCTCTTAGCTTAGAGGGATCGCAGTAGTCCTAACTCCTAACAATGCTCATCATCATTGAACTCGACGTCGATCACTTGGTATCCACCACTCCCATCAGCACCATCTTCATGTGTGGCATCAGCAAAACCATTTCTTATTACACCTTCTATGGTATCTCGGAATCTACCCATAGCACCGGGGACAGCATAACCGCCTTCAGGGTATTCAAACCACGAAGGATGAGGACCTGCAGCTGAAACAACACCTCGACGAGCATAATCATCATATATAGGAAACATGGCACGATTCTGGTTTTTCTCGAAGGTATTTATCCTGTCTAGTAGGCTCTGCTGACTTAACTCTATACGCCCTAAAGTGGCCATAATGCGGTCTATATCAAGACGGCCGGAAGAAGAACTTGCGCCACCATAACCACCATTGTTGTTTAAAATGGCAACAATTCTGTCCAATTCCAACAATCGTTTCTCGAATGACTGAAATTGTTCGGTTGTGGCAGGACTGGCAGCCAGTACACTACTCAAATCATTTTCCAACGTAGTAGAATTCTTCATTATAAGGTCTGAATTTTCTTCTGTCTCTTTTTCTGCATTTTTTACCTTCTTTTCAATGCCCTTCATTTTCTCCTCTAAAAACTTGATTCTTCCCTTCAGATCCTCACATTCCAACCTACGAACCCTAAATTCCTCTTCAATGTTCACGTTTCTTGCCTCTAAAACCGCATTATCGTCACTCGATTCCATGTTTGGCTTCTTTAACATCTTCACCTCGTCTATAATTGGGGAATCCATGGAAGTTTAGCAGGGAGTTTTCTGTAAACCCTAGGAGAGAGAAAATAAAGGAAGAATTGGGGATTTTCTTTTTTAAGAAGAGAGCAATTTGATTGAAGCGATTATAATGAAATTGCAGAGTGTACACTGTACAACACTGCTTCTCAATATTCAGTAAATAATTTTATCTTAAACGTATTTTGAGTAGCGCTGTAGGTTTGTTTATTTTTATTGTTTTTTTATAATACCTTTAAGAAAAATTGGCTTAAAATAATACGAATTTAAATATTTGCTTTTAGTGGTACCATCTTTTGTACTATATGTGAAAAATAGTACGTTGGTCACCGAAAAAGTATCGCGAGGAATATTCCGTCTATATTTATTAATATTATGTTTTGTTATTAATTTTTTGTTTTCTTTTCAAAATACATACGAAGTATTATGTTAAAAATTTTCTTTACAATACAATCCAAATTAATAATGCCCACCCCTTTGTAAGTTTAGTTTTTTTTTTTTTTTTTTTTGGTGGGTTGGTGAATGCGGGGAAATTTTGGATTTTTGAAACTAATAATATCAACATTTTTTTTAAGGCAAAACTAGTTATATCAACATAATAATACATTTAAATACTTTGTTTACCATTGTGTGATTGTAGTAGAAATTACTACATATATTTTGAAAAGAAAATATTTAAACACATGTTGACAATTCAAAAAAAAAAAAAAAAAAGGCCTAACAAAGGGGTGGGGCATTATTAATTTGGATTGTAAAGGAAATTGTTAACAATTATATGTATTTAGAAAAGAAAAACAGAAAATTAATAAAAAAATAAAATAATAATTAATTTATATGCGGAATATTCCTCAAAATACTTTTAGGTTACCGGCGTACTATTTTGCACATATAGTACAAGAGGTGGTACCACTAATAGCAAATAGTTGAGTTTGTATTATTTTGCACATATAGTACAAAAGGTGGTACTGCTAATAGCAAATAGTTGAGTTTGTATTATTTTGCACACACCGTTGATAGTTGATATTATTTTAAGCCAATTTTCCTATCTTTAATTATCAATAATATTTTTTTTTTGAGGACCAATAATAATATATCATAACAATTGAAAACTGTAATGTATTTATTAAGACGATTACAAGTACTCATAATATATTATTTTTTATACATAAGTCACAAACATTAGTCAAAATATGTGAAGTGAGTAGTGTAAAAAGTGCTAATAGAGCACTTATTAAATTACAGAGTACAAAGGAGTATGCATATCTTTGTACTGCCTCTATTTTTTTTTTAGTTGTATCATTTTGCATATTGCAAATTCTACACAATTTTTAGAGACGAGAGAGAATTAAAAAAATATGGGCCGATTTGATAGAAGAGAGATAGAGAAAGTTTATTAACTAAAAAGGAAAGTGATATAACTAATTTAAAACTTTTATTTTAGAAAAGGGATGTAACTAAAAAGAAATGGAAAAAAGTATGTAGATTTTGTCTTGTGAATTAATTAACACTATCCATCAAGTCAACACATGAGTATAAATTCACCCTTTTTTGAGTCACAAGTGTAACTCAAAGTAAGAATGTTCGCCAAGACATTATCTAAACTTATCTTCCATCAAGTCACGACTCTTTGATTAATTGATTAAAGCATCATGGCTATTACCAGTTTCAGTCCTACTCCCACATATGAAGTCTTCACCCCTACTATCCACGAGATCACGATGAAACTAAACTGACCAGGAATTCCAAAAGCCAATGTATCATATAGCAAACTTATAAACACGTATGCTTTTTCTTAATTAACTGGCACTTATACAGACTTACAGAATCATTACACAAAATTTCGACAACTGAGGTTAGCATTTTAATTCCATCACCCCCTTGTATGTTACATAAGCTTTAAGTTGAAAGGTAGTGCTGGAGCATGGCAGCACCAGCAATCTGTCTATAATACAGATTTAACAAGTGCTTCAAAAGCAAAAGCTTGCCGGAATCAAAACACCCATTTCGCACTAATCACCTAAAGCCAGAGGGTGCTGCCGCAGCTTGTCCAGGTCCTCCTCTCCTCATCGCCCTTGATTGTGCAAGTATCTCATCATAATTCTGACCCATGGAAAGTTTCCGTCAGTATCAAAGATGGATAGAACCCAATACCCAAAGGGGAAATAAAAATCAAGTTTGTCATAATAAGAGAAGCTCACCCTTTTCTCAAACGCAGAATCCCTCGAATCAATCATCTTGTCTGCAATGCCATAATCAATGGCTTCCTGTGCCTGTAAGTACTTGGGGCGCTGAATATCTTTCTCGATCTCTTCTTTTGGTTTGCCAATACCTTTGGCTAAGAGTTCAACATAGTACTCCGTATTTGCATCCAGTTCTTTTGCCTACAAAGATCATCAGGGTTACTTAGCTTAAGCACACACAAATAAGTACAGCTGGGTGCTTGTTCCTTATCATCCTTATGTTTAAGGGGCAATCGATATAACACTTAGCCATAAACCCCAATCTTTTGGAATTAGATTAACATATGATAGTGTTGTTGATATTACATTTTGGAACTGCAAGCATAATAAAGGATCATGATGAAAGGATTAGGTGTACCTTGATCCACATATCTATCACAGCTCCACTAGATCTGTTGACTTTTGGCAGATACAATTTTGCTGCATTTTCAGATTGGAGAGCATTTAGAAACCAGGATTGGATAAATTTCTTCTAGTTGTAATGCAAATTGAACTATAAGAAGGTGCATCTTATTTTTAAGATTTGGTGATGTGAGGGGGAAGAACAGAAGTGTAAGGTTTAACCTTAAAACCAAGACAAAGCATTACAAATTCAACAACATTTATATTCTTCTACTCACTAAACATTTATATTCTTCATCCACCATGTATGCGTGTCCAAATGTACATTTTGCATGTCCCCTTTACCCCCACCCCCCACCCCCCCCCCCCAAACAACCCAAAACCAAATACGAATGAGAAGGGATGTAAATTTTGCATGTCCCCTATACCCCCCAAACATATACGAATGAGAAGGGACATGTGGACATTAAAAATAAGTTCCTCAGTCTAGATGAGTTCACTCAACAATCCAAAATGGCAATTCTCGAGTCTCAAGATTCAATTAAGTAAAAGCAAATATGTGGTCACTATTGCAAGCAACACTCTAGTAAAAGCATTGTCATTGCTATTCATATTTTTTAAGTGGCAACAGGAATCCATATTCCATAGAAATAACATCCAGTTTATAAAAGTGTTCTCAGATAATTGAATCTGATTCGTTTCAGATTCGAAGTTTTCCAACTATTTACTAGTATTTCTCATAGAGAGAGATGCATAAAGTAAAGAGGCATTTGTCAGCGATGCAGCAAATATAAGCAAGAACACATTGAAATTGATATGTAATAAGGACAGGCAAAGAAGTAGTGCAATACTTGATGAATTTGGCTGCAGAGCACGGTAACCCTTTGTTCCAAGTGATAAAAGCATAGCTGCTTGGCCATATGCCATGCCACAGTTCACTGTGTAGACATCTGATTTGCAATACTACATGAAAGTTGATAAAACACAAGTCAAGGACTAATGGATTGGGCTCACACAAGATGCACAAAAAATAATAAATAAACAATTTTGCTTACACCCATGGTATCAGCTATTGCATATGCCTCTGTCTCTGAACCAACAGTTTCCATCTTCTCATTCTGAAAATACAAAAAGCATGTCAAGACATGACTTGGGGCTGCATTTCAACCCAACAAACAATTATATCCTTCAAGTGTATTGGACGTAAGTCCTTCCCACTCACAGCCCTCCCCCACGTCTTGAGCATGAAAATATGAATGGAAAACTAATTAGCAGTGGTACTTTCCCTTCATGTTCATGTGAATCATTTCGGAAATTCCAGCATAGAATTACATTAGGTTCCATGCACAAACACACAAGCTTACCGTGCTGTAAGTAGTAAGTACAATATTTCTGGCAAGAGTACTTATTTAGGATTTTAAATTACAGGATTCACCGCAGAAATAGCATATCTTTTCACTCACTTGTGTTCCAGATGAGTTGATGTATAAATATATAGGCTTTGAGGGGTTGTCATAGTCCAACCACATAAACTGAGCAACAATCAGCTCAGTAACTGCAGGCACAATCTGAGCAAAAAGAGCAGAACAATTGACAACGATTAGAACCAAAGACTAAAGTATAATGGAAATGCTGTACTTCTATATAAGCTCTAAGAGTAACAAGGTCTTACTGGCATGCCAAGATACACAATCCTAGCATCCAAAAGCAAGGAAGGAAGATCAGGTGGGGCAGTTCTTGGTCTTCCATATCCTCTAGCACCACCACGATACATGCTAATGCTCATACTGTATTTTGATGGACCCCTATCGTCCATGCCTCTAGTACTCCACATCCCACCATTGTCTAGATAGTTGCTCGCAGAAGAAATGCTTTGCTGCAAGAATTTATTACAAACATGAGACCTAGCTGTTAAATTGAAACACAACGTTAAAGCAATAATTATAGCCAATCATGTACCTCTGTTACTTTTTCTGACTGCCGGCGAACTGGATTATCCTCTGTCATGAACATGTCCATTTGTGAAGGACTGAGGCCATAAAGATACTGAGGGACATTTTTGAAGTTATCCATCACTATAAATGAAGATATGCATAAAGAATTGTCAGAATTGAATATTATAGAGAATATACTCAGAAATATAATAAATCCTATTGATTTTAATTTGATGATCAATAAAGGACAAAGTTGTGCGCTATCATTTTTTTTTCCTGTCTCCTGCATTTTCTTTGACCTGTCTGCATTGACGCATTGTAGAGGTGGGAGCAAGATGATTCCATTACTGAATAGGCCCAATAAGCACTGTACTTAGCAAAACTTGTTCACATCTACTTAAATGAGCCTTATATGTTCTCCAATGTATTTATATAGTAGTCCAGTGATCCTCAAAAGAGAAGTGTGGCTCTTTGCCCCTCTCCTCAGTCCCTCCCCGAAAAAGAAAAACCATTCTCTAATATCTTGAATATTGTTTAGAATCACGAAAAAGGAAAAGAGAAGATGACATGTCTAGACAAATTTATCCACTGACATATTGAAATAGGATTTTTGTGTTTCTAATTTAAAAAGTAAAACTTTGGTAGCAATAATATGTGAACACATACTAATATGATAAAAGCAAATTAGGTAACTATACTGTAAACTTTCAGACGACAACCTTTAAAGAGGATAGAACTCTTTCAAATATTTAAATTCTAAACACTATTCATTAGATAACATGTCCCTTTTGCATTTACATCTGAGGATAATCCAACAGTATTATGGCAGAGAACTCCATCTCTTCTAATGAACTTTAATCCTTGACCCCTTCATTGGCTAGCAAACTACTTCCTCCGTTTCTTTTTAGTTGATACGTTTCTTTAGTCACATTTTCCAATGCACAAATTCAACCGTTAATATCTTTAATTATCGATAAACACAAATTATAAAAGGTTGATATTTTGAAAATATATACCGTGACGAATTTAACAAGACCCCACATGACTATATTTTTCATTATGTATAAATCACAAACCATGCTCAAAGGGAAGCATGTGAATAGTGCTAAAGTCAAAAACGTGTCAACTAATAAAAAACGGAGGTAGTATATGCAATTAAGAAACTGACTTATCAACTGCGAAATGGGGGTATGAAAGAAATGTTGCCCACATAGTGATAACATCCATGAAACAGCAATCTTGATTATCATCAATTCATAATCAAGAAATGTTATTGCAATTTCTCTTATAAGCAAATGAGAAACTGAAACCACTAAAAAAGTTGATACCTTAGCTTACAATAGAATTCGTAACCAAACTCAGCTGGTCATAATATCAAGTCTTCTTTAGCTCTCTATCACTTTTCCATGAAATGCCTACTTTTGTTAAGAGTAAAGTTCCCTTAAATTGAAACACATCTATTTCTCACATAATTAGTGATAAAATATCATCTTATGATGTTCAATTTCACACATATTTACCATTTCCTTCTATTTAAAATCCTATCTCATATAAACCAAAATCACATAATAAATTATCAATTAAATTGTAACACAGTCTAGCATGTAGCTTAGACTCATTGTCACCGTCCCGATATCAGCAAGAGCACGCCACACGATTCGAGTGTCGAAATCGAAACATTCGGACTGTAACACTAACACCCAACCCCATAAGTTCTAAAATACAACACCAAAATTTCCATCTTCTAGAAAGCTTCAAATACATAAATCAGCAAAATTAAACCAAAACCCCTAAACTAATTGATAAAAATATAATCTTCAATCAACAACAAATTAGTTAAAATAATCTTCTATAAGAAAATATAAAAAGCAGGATTTGAAAATTAGCCAAATAAATAGATGAAAAGTAGAAACTTACAGCCTTCTTTAAGATTATCTTGCCTAAATTGCTTAGGAATATGATCAAATGAAGATTTCTGGGCACAAGGTGATTTGAACAACCTACGATTAAGCGTGGGTTTTGATTGAATTGAAAAGGAGAAAAGGGTTGAAGAAGAAAAGGGTTTAGTACCCAGAAGAAAAGAAGATTGAGAGAGGCCATTTGAGAGAATACCCATTTCACGATTTTCAGAAGAGACTGGAATATGAGTGGAGATAGGAGAGAGAAAAGTGGTCGCCATTGAAGCTAAGTTTGGAAGCTCTAAACTGATTGCTTGGAAAATTTGGAGTGATATACATAGATGGGGATGTTCAATTTTGGGTTGTGGCTCTGCTGTGTTCAATTTTTTGAGCTAAGACTTGGTTTCTCAAGGCCCATGGATTGCTTTCTTCATATGTCGGCTTGATTAACCAAATCTCGTTTTTAAGAACTGAGAAGTGTCAAGTTTAGTTGTTTACTAGATAACTTATGAGTCATGTTCGTTTTTTAAAATTAAAAGTAATTGATGAATGGAAGTCTCTTGAAAAATATAACTAAATCATCAAGCTTCTGAGAAACTCACCTTGTGATTTGAAGCTCACTAAATACATATGAGGCTAGGTACCTTCCTTTTCTATTCTTAAGCAATGATTTGTGTAGCTGGGCTGGCTAACCTGTAATAGGTGTTGATTTAATAAGGTCATTCTCTACCAAAAAAATGAATTGCATATTAAATTGAGTTATTACATGTATTGCAAAATGAAAATTTGTAGGATTGATGACTATCCTAGCACAATGAGTGTGAGCTAATGTCCATCACATTTTAGAGCGTCCACTTATTATAATGGGCCAACATTTACCCTAACACCCTAGATGGACTCAAACTTAAATGCCTTATACTTGATGGGCTAATGTAAAATAACCTTTAGACCATTTGCATCCTTAACATTTGGTCAAATGTAAAATACGAAATACTACGGAGTATATTTCTCATCCTTCCCCTTCTTCTACCTCATTCGAGCCATTTCTCACTAGGGGTATGTTTGTTTCTCCTTCTCAAGTGATGGGGTTCGATCCTCATCATTCTCTCCTTCCTATAATAGCCGAGTAACCTCTATAATACTAACTGAATAACCCATATAATACTGACTAAATAATCCCTATAACACTGATTGAGTAACCCCTATAATACTAACGAAGTAACTCCTATAATGACAGTCCACACACATATAAAAGTTGGTGATGAAAAATAATATGATTTTATAAATTTAGATAAAATCATATAAATTAAGACAATTTCAAAATATATTAGTTCAAATAATATGATTCCAGACAAAATTAGATGAACCAGATAGAGCCTATATTTTCACAATCTTAACCCATGATCACCACTTTCTTTCACCTTTTGGTTACATATTCCACCTCATATACTCTCCTAAATAATTATTAATTTATCAATATTCACCTCTTAAATAAAAACAAACAAACAAATTGCATCGATAATACAATGCATTTATTTGCATTTATTTTCTTAAGCTGTACTTCCTCTGCTTTTCATACTTGTAACAATTTTGTTTTTATGTTTGTCAATACTCAATACGAAACTTTAACCGTTTATATATTTATAATTATGCATTTGTAAATATTACAAAGTATAATAATTATATATTAATAAAGTAGACATTAAGATGATTCTATATAATCACATATGTACCTCTGTATCCTTGAGTACAAAAATAATCACATATGACTATGTTTTTCTTTTAAAAGTATAAATCATGACATATAAATGACATTAAGTATATATGTGTACATCGTACATTATTGAAATTTTATTTGAAAGTAAAAAAAAATGAAAGCTGAGAAAATTTAAAATCATGTACACTGGCATCCTACCTACCAAGGTGTTTCGGGGTTTTCTGATGTCCTGCGGGAGAGTTACAATTTCGAGACTGGAACCGGACGCCTGTACCTGCAAAACAAACGGATGCTCCGGATGATTGGAGATCCGCCTCCAACGGTCAAGTTAGTACTTGATTAAAGAGTAATTAATGCGGAAATGTAATTTAGTCTCTCTAGGTGAGAGTGTTAAATGTGCGTAATCCCCCTTAATGAGGATTAATGGGCATATTTATATTCCTTGGGATGCGTGCCAATACTAGGTTTAGGTTAAACCTAAGGCTGACTGAGCTTCCCAAAGATTGGGCCTTGTTGGCTGATTTATCCTTTTGGCATGAATGGACACGTGTCGTGTCGCAATTGGTCCACGGAGGACGAATATATGGTTGACACGTGGCAGGCTCCTATTGGCCCATGTGGCGGACACATGGCGGTACCTGACTGGTCCACTTGTCAGATGGTGATTGGTGGATAAAAATCCCCTAATCATTTGTCCCTCACAGGTGGCACGTGACTGGTCACGTGTGACCTGTGACAGGTGTCACACCGTAACAGGCGACGGCCTGCTACAGGTGTCACTCGGTGAAAGGCTGAGAGGTTCTCCCGCCCAAATTTTGAATTTGGGAGTGACCCTTCGCCTTCTCATTTTCGCCTATATAAGGGTGTGTTGACTTCAGTCATTTTCACACTTGAGAACTTTTGAAGAGAGCATTCGGACCCCTGAACTTGCTCTGACATTCCGGACTCTTTCTGCCTACCGCTTGCTCTGACAAGCCGGCTGCTCAGAATTTTTCAGAACTTCGTCAATTTCACTCGTTCAGGTAACCGTCGGTTCTCTCACTCTTTTAACTTTTCTTTATTATTTTTTTTTTGAAATGGCACCACGGAAGCACACGACACGACCTAGGTTAGTGATCAGCAGGTCACCGGGGACGGCTGAATCTAGGACTAGGAGTGCCGCCTGCCCTTTTCCGAACCAATCTTTGCCCTTTATACAAAGTCCGACTGTCTCTGTGTCTATGCATAACATAATGGCCAGAAAAAAAAGAACTGCTAGGATCACAAACTCAGACGGCTCCTCCTACCAGGTGCCGATTAGTGAGACATCTGACCAGGCGCCAGATGCTGAAGTAAACTAAGGCGGCTTGACCGCCGACAGCTCTGAGGGAGGGGTCAAGGTGGTCCCTTCCCATTTTACAGTTGACATGTCTAACTTTTCTCCCGCTCCTATCGAAGGAGAGGAGGCGGGCCCCTCTGGGAGAGGAGAGGAGTCGTCCTCTTCGGATTCGTCAGAGGACGAGTCCGACTCTTGTTCTTCTGGTCATACTTCTCTAGACACAGAAGAGAAAAACAACCGCCTACAAGAGGCGAGGCTTTCTCACGCAGTTGAGAAGGGGGACAATTGGGCGGAGCCGTCTGGCTCTTACAGAGAGCAAAATACCCCTTACTACTGCACTGTCCCCAAAGGCCGGATCAAGGCCATGCAAGAGAAAGTGGGGAGCTTTATTGCAAACCACACAATGGGCCCCGGCTTTTTAGTTTTTGTGCCGGATCCAGAAGACACAGTCGTCTGGCCGGCTGGTACTAGTTATGATAGCGCCTGCTTTGGCTGCTACGAGGCGGCCATCAGGGCTATTCTGCGCTTCCCATTACATCCGGCTGTTCAGCGGATCTTGGATGGGTATGAGTTGGGGTTATGGAAGTTAGCCCCAAACTCCTGGTTCAACGTTCTCGGCTATGTGGCCGGGTGCGAACTGCATGGGGTGGAGCCAAACTTCGAGGCTTTCGCCCACATGAATTACCTCAGCCGGACCCCTAAGGCAGGCGGTACCGGCTGGTATCAATTGACGAGCCACAGAGGCTACCTCATGACAAGAGGTAAAGAAAATAAGTGGAAGGATTGGCGAAGCACTTTCCTTATCATTGAAAGTTCAGACACAGAGCTGAACAAGCGCTTCAACAGGTGGAACAGGGATCCGCCTCTTCTTGCAGGCGGCCGTAGCATGCCGCCTGTTCCTCCAAAGGCTAAGAGAGAGATTCTGGACAAAGGACTCTTCAAAGTAGAGTCGAGGGTCGACTCTACTACAGGGGTGCGAGAGCAAGTACCCCTGCACTGCGTCCCGAGCTTCAAATGGCTCTATGACGAGTACTTTTTGGCCGCCTATGGCCTCAGCAGTCGGTGTTCAAGAGGTAGCCGGCCTGTCGAATACTCTCTTTTGCCATGCATTACTCATTATAACTTTTATTAACTTTGGTTTTTGTCCTTGCAGTGGACGCCATGAGCAAGATCACCGCTTCCAAGACTGCGACGGCTATGTTGCGAGCCTCTATCTTGCAACAATCTTCAACCGACTCTCCCAACAAGGAGGCGCCTTTGGTAAGTTCCAAGTCTTTCACACACTCCTTTTTGAAGTTGGGTTTACACAGAGACTGACCGCGTGTTTTGTTGTTTTTTTTTTATTAGACGGGCACTCCTAGAACTTCTTCTCCCCAACAGCCGGACTCCAAGGCCCGGAGAACGACTGTTGCGAGCTCTCCTAGCACGGCCAGGAAAAATGCGGCGACTGAGAAACAGTCGGCCACCCCCTCTCAAACTCCAATCAGGCCGCCTAGGAGTATGGACCTGTCCTTGTGAATTCTTAACGCAGCCCTTTTACTAGGTCTAACATGCTTGTTTATGCTTGATGCATCCGGCCCTCAGGAACCGGACCTGATCGAGGTGGCCAAGTCTATGATCAAAGCCGTCCCTCCGGCTGAGAGAGAGGCGGTCAGGGGTGTCGTCACCCTTGACCTAGACGGAATCGCAGGGGTCCTGGCTGAGGTATACTTAGCATACTCTTGTCGTTTAAATTCCAGGACGCCTATTTTTTGTTTGAAAACTGACGCCTGTTTCCTTTTGATCAGGCTCTGCTCCGAGTGAACGGCCTTCGCAAGCCGCTTGATAGGAAGACCAAAGAGGTAAAGGCTGCTAAAGCTATGGCCGCCTCTGACTGTGATAAGGCAATGTTTCAAATTGCCCAAAATGAGATTTTGACAACTGATATTCTTTATTATCAGGCGCAGGCTACCTCTGCTATCTGGACTCAGTTGGAGGCGGCCCAGAAGAGAAATAATGAGCTGGAGGCGACCATCAACAATCTCAAGGCCGAGCTGAGACCTCTTTGCCAAAAAATGACCACATACGACGCCTTGGAGAAATCCTTGGAGCGCGTTAAAGAGCGCTTGGCGACTCAGCAGAAGAGTCTCACTGCGGAGCTCTCGGCAAAGGCCGAGCAGGAAAAGAAAGATTTGGTCTGAGAGATGATGGAAGACTCATCTCAAACTCAGCGCCTGACCTGGGCCGCCTCTTCCCCAATGCCGACTTTGCCTCATGGGAAAAAACGTACCGCCAGTGTTCCGACAGATACAATCAAGAGATCCTGGCGGCTGCTGAGGACGAGGCAATGGAGGATGAGGATCCGATAGTGGCCATAGTGCCGATTGGGGTGGA